TATTGTTATTATAATTATTATAATGATAATTATTATTTTAATTTGATTATTGCTTTGAGAGCATGATATATTATGACTTCATTATGGCAGTGGGGATACTGATTCAGTGGTTCCTCTCACTGCAACCCGGTACTCAATTGATGCTTTGAATCTTTCAACGGTCACCAACTGGTATCCTTGGTATGACAATGGAAAGGTTAGTCAAACCAGTGAACAAACTCATTTTTTTCTTTGCTGCATGAAACAGAGGGTCTGTTTGGATGGAGAGTAAGGATGAGTTAGGGTAAGTACACCGCTCTACACTCCTATTTGGGTGCAACTCTTTCTCTCCTTTACGCCTCTTTTTTACCCATTTCTTAACACCTCGAAATGGGGTGCATTGGAGAGAATGGAATAGAGAAAATTATGTATACTCCGTATAAAAGATTGTCACAAACTCTTTTCTGTCCTTTTCTTCCAAATTCCTTAAACCAAACATAGTGTTAAGATAGTGAGGGTGGTGAGGAGTAACTCTTACTCTCCTTGCACAGTTTCTTCACATGATCACTCTTACACTAGGTTTGGTTCAAAGAATTTGATGGGGGAAAATAAAACAAAATGATATGAAAAATAATTTTCCTTGTTTGGTTAGAGAGGAAAAGAAAAGAAAATGAGAGGAGAAAACAACCTCAAGGGAGGAAAAATAAATTTCTTTCCAAGTTGGCGAGGAAAAGAAGAGAAATTCTATCTTGTCCTTCTTAATTCGCCGAACCAAACATAGCGTTACTCTTCAAAATCACAATGTCCGAACGGAGTCTGAGAGGTTCTCTATTTTATAACATATCAGAGCCGGCCCCGAAAATGAAAAAATAAAATTGGCCCGGTCTAAAATTTACATTTTGTGCCCTATTTTATATTTTTAGAATACTTTTGCTTTAAAATTATTAACAAATTTAAAAATATGGTGCCCTAAATTTTATTGGCCTCTGTGCGGTTGGCCACTTTGCACACCACCCATGGAACATATACATTAATCTTGTTCTAAGTTCCTCCAATGAAATTACAGGTAGGAGGGTGGAGTCAGGTATATGATGGGCTAACGTTTGTGACTGTGACTGGAGCTGGGCATGAGGTGCCGCTCCATCGCCCTCGACAAGCATTTCTTCTTTTGAGATCGTATCTGGAGAACAAGCCCATGCCTTCCAAACCCAAGCTGCTGTTATCTCCAAGATGATCCTATATATGCATACTCCATGCATCATTAGTTACAATAAGCTGCCCCAGGCTTGCAGATTGCTTGATTTGTTTGTTTGCTGCTTTCAATCTCAAATGCCAACTTCAACTTATGATATCGTCTTTGTTTTGGTTGGATTTTAAGAAGGTTGTATTTGTTCGGTTCATGCTTTCTTCTGATATCATATTACCACACGCATATGAAAATGGTTTCTTTCTTGAGGTGGTCTCCATTCACTTCGGAGCAGGAAACCCCAGAACCCAATGATTTCTGTTTGAAATAAAATATGAAATTATCATATACTCCCTTTGTCCTATTGTACTAGTTTTGTTTTTTCAAGTCAAATTTAATGAACTCTGAGATTCAATTAAATAAAGATTGTGATGTATAATTGTACAAAAAAATATTTAATTAGACTATGTTGTTAGAAATTTCAAAAATTTCATTTCAATATACTAGTATGCAATACAAATTAAGAGTAATTAAAGATCCAAGTTCATCCAATTTGACTCTGAAAAATCAAATTGGACAAACACACTGAGACATAATTAATACTTAATTGGTCTCAAATCAAATATTTTTATCTTTTGTCTAAAAAAGTTAAACTAAAATTTACTACGTATATATTTAAAAATGAAAAGTTCTATGGTGGACCTAAGGTCCACCATAGACCTACATATGAAAAAAATAAGCTCTTTTTACTACTTAAATAAGCATTTATTTTTTAAATAAAAAAAATTCTTTATGTGCAAATGTGTACAAAAGTGATATGCACTCAAGGTACACCAAAGAAGCACTCTTTAAAAATTATACCAAAACCTTTTACGAAGCATGAGTTGGCATCATTATAAATCATATTTTTTCTCTCAAATAAGAAGTGAAAATAAGTAAAGAAAATAAATTAAAATTCAAACCATTGAATAGTACTCCCTCCGTCCCAAATTATAATGCATGTTTACTATTCACATGGTCAAACTTCATTTACTTTCTTTCTCTATTTTCGTTAGTAATTTGATAAAATAAAATATTATTGTCACTACTAGTTTTGTAGATCTTTTGGTGTAGTTTTTTAATATGTAATTTTTATTTTTTAATTCTATACCATTTATCATATAAAATGGTTTGAAAATAATTTTAGTCAAACATCGTAAACCGAAAAAGACGTTATAAAATGGAACGGAGGTAGTAGCAAATAGTCAATTTGAATTTTGAGAGGGGGTTAAATTTTAAGAGCATCAATATCATTTATAAAATCTAAGGGTCCGTTTGGTATAAGGAATTGATGGAATTAGAATTGAAATTTCATGGCATTCAATTCCATAGAATTGAATTCACCAACTCCAGTTCATTTTTTGCATTATCAATTTCAAATTCTCATACTTTTTGTGCTACCAAACACCAGAATTGGAATTGGAGTCTTCAATTCTAATTCTATAGTTTGAATTCTGTGTACCAAACGGGGCCTAAGAGTAATTACATAAAATTGTTCGAATGGTGGGGGATGCGAACTGACAACGAAAATAAGAACATTAGGGCGGTGGTGTTGTTGATTGACGAAGAAAGAGATAGTCGGGTGGGTTAGCGTTTAGGAGAGTTGGGTTGGGATAGAAGTGAAATCAAAAGAAAGGGTAAAAAAGTTATTTCAAGTTTTGAAATTTTCTAAATTTGTAAAGTGGAATCAGAGCGTTCGAAATAGAAAGTGAAAATATCCAAGTGAGACGGAGGAGAACAAATTTGTCTTATGAGTTTTAATCTCATGAATTTTATTGTTTAAAAAGTTAATTTTCAGATCAGATCAAATCCAAAATATATTTAAATATAACTATATTCAAATCAAATCAAATTTTTTTCCAATCAGATCAGAAACATTCAGATCAGGTGATAAGAACATGACTATTTTGGTATTTTCCACCTTCAAGTCAAACTTGGAGTTATTTCACAAAATGGTTCATTTTCAAAATAAGAACCCATTAATTATGGAACATATTTATGATATTTGTATGTGAATATTATAAAAAAAAACTAGAAAGGGACGGGTTCAAGTGACATTGAACGCAGTTTCATACTAGGACTCGAGTTCCAATTGAAGCCCCTTACGTAACCCTGATTGAAAAATTGATGGTACCAAGCCCCCCACCCCTTAAATTGCACTCCCTAATTTTTCTTCACTTTGAAGTCAAATTTTTTGGAAGTATATCAAGAAAATGTAAATATTTTATGTTTGTTTTTATTTGCTTCATTTGTTTTGAAATAAGGCTCCATCATCAGTTGACAATGTTTGACTAAAATTATTTTCAAAAGAGTAAATGAAACTTGGTGTTGAATTTTAAAAAGTATCATGTATATATTAAAAAAGCGTACACAAGTTCTAAAAAAACAAGAGTTAACGTGATCTTCATGAAATCTTCTTGTTTTTTCGTTTCATTTCTAATAGGGAGTATTAAACTAATTCTTCTCATTTTTTATTAAATTTAAGAGTAAATTCCATAAAAAGTTCCCAGTTATAGGTCGTTTTACATATTTAGTCCCTACATATCAAATATTACTAATTTAGTCCCCAATTATTATATTTATTTCCACGAATGGTCCTTTGTTAACATTTCTATTAAGAACGTGGATAAAATTGTAAATTTACACTCCTTTCTCTCTTTAATTAAGCTTCCTCCCTCCCCTTGCGCTCTTTCCCAAACTCCTCGCTGAGTTTGAATCTCTAATCCCAAAATTAAAATGATCATTCATCTCTCAATTATTAGTCTTACAGGTGAAACCTAAAATCAAAACCAATAAGCTTTATGGATGAGTTTTATTGGTTAGTCTTAAGCAACTGCAAAGAAAATAAGCATTAAAACTCATCCATCAAGGTTACTGGTTTCGAATTTAGATTCCACCAGTTAGACAAGCAATCGAGAGAAGAGTGATGATTTCGGTTTTGGGTTCAAAACTTCAATCTCATCGACGGGTTTGGGAAAGGAGTGCGAGGGGAGGGAGGAAGCTTAATTGAAGAGATAAAGGAGTGAATTTACAATTTTATCCACGTTCTTAACGAAAATGTTAACAAAGGACCATTCATGGAAATGAATATAATAATTGGGGACTAAATTAGTAATATTTGATATGTAGGGACTAAATATGTAAAACGACCTATAACTAGGGACTTTTTATGGAATTTACTCTAAATTTAAAAACAAAATTCACCACTACTCTAGATGTTAAGAATGAAGCTTTCAAATCTTATTTTAAAATAGTTTTGGAGGTTTCGCTTTCAGAATTTGTTTCTCTTTGTGATGAAAATCAAAGCAGCGAAAAAATTGGAAACAATGGTGAAGCAGGAGTAATTCTAGAGAACCAAAGTAAGTAGCACTAATTATAGAAATATTTACAATAAATAACACTAAAACATAAGTCATTTCTCAATGTAAGACTTAAACTTTTTTATTCCCTAAATAACAATTAATAATATATATAGGTGGAATACTATCGAGTGATGATGAACATTTACTTGAATAATGACTAATGAATAATGACTAAAAATGCTACATTAGGAAATAAAAACATATGATGCTGTTTAGAAAAAATCATTATGTTTCAATACTATTTAAGTAAATTTTATATATATATATATATATATATATGTGTGTGTGTGTGTGTGTGTGTGTGTGTGTATATATATAAATGATTTTTATTAAAACAAAAGTAAAAGTACAACCAAGTGGGTGGTCAACCCCTACAACAAGAACCAAACCAGTCCAAAAGAGAAGAAACCATTTAAATGAAGACAAAATACATAAGACTCCCTCAAAATACAAGAAAACCAGGAAACAAAAATGTCCAATTCCAAAAGCTGTAGAGGTATCTTCAAATGCTCCAATACGAAACCATGAAATTGGATGCCGCCCAACGGAGATCAAAATGGGACGCCACATGGAGATGGTCTGAACATCGTCACCAAAGGAGAGACGGATGGTTTCAGAGACCAAAACACACGAGCGATTTCAATTGCGAATATTGGGGAAGGGACAGAGACAGAGATTACAAAGGCAATTACTGGGGTAAGAGTATCAGAGGACCGGTGATTAGAGAAGAGGGGTTGGTCGCGATTAACATTGAAAGCAAGGAATTCATTATCAAAGCTACAGATTCCATCACTATCTCCGAGAGAAAGAATGGTAAGAGCCACAAAATTTCAATCTCTAAGTCTTCTGCAATTTGGTTAGCTGAAACCTTAAACCACCCTCCTCTGGCGAGGGTTGGGTGGTCTGTATCAAGATTTGAGGGTTCTTTCGTAACTAAATTTCAATGGGATTCCAATAGATATGGGAACTATGTTAGATTAACTGCAGCACAAGAAGGTAGGGTCGGAAATATCTTCATACCTACAGGACCCAACTCAGAAGGCATTTTTCTCTTTGTCAAAGCCATCACTGATGCTGTAAATCTCAGAGGGGATAATGCATACATCCCAGGAGAAGAAAGGGTTGACAAGGAAGTAAAAGGGTGTGAGGAACCTTCTAGAATGCAAAAAAAGTATGGAGAAAAGGAAGATAAAACAGAAGAAGGAATAACTGGAAAAGGAGAAGAAATGGAAATGAGGAAGCCTTCTATTTCTTCCGAGCTATTTGACTTAGATATTCAGGAAGCAACTTTGATAGGGGACGGCTCAGATAAGGGTCAGAAATCCATTCCAGAACAGCAACAAGAGGGCAGAGAAGAAGACCCAACTGAAAAGCTTTTCCTACCAGTCTTCCAAGCTGCGGAGAACCAAATAAAAGAGGCGTAGGCAAAGAAAGAGTTATTAGATAATCTCAAAAAGGGTTTGCTACACAATCAACATGGAAAAGCTTTGAGGGCAACAAGGGAAACTATTAAAAGCATGGAGATGGTCACCATGGTTAACTTTGAAGGTGCCAATTATCCCGTATTCATTTCATACTCCAGTGCAGATAAGGAAACTGTGGCAGAATTCCTATCAGGTGAAGCACAAGAGAATTAAAATAACTTTTAGGAGTTGAATCATATCTGGTGGAATAATTTTGGGATCATATTATTATGAGCGATGCTTGCTTTTAATTCCTTTTGAAGAATCCCATGAATTAAATGGTAGTGTGGGTTTTGGATTCCACATACTGGTATGGACTGGATGAAGGGTTGGGAGTGGGGTGTTTTGAGTATTACTATTGGCATGATGTTTAGGTAGGCTTTCTCAATGCTCCCTTATTTCTTTGAATGTATTCTATTCTATTTGCTACCACACGGAAAGGGGAAGACATATTTTGTTTGAAGAGAACACAAGGTTATGGGACATCAATACAGGTATAGAGGTGAAGGGTTTGAAAGCATAGTCTGGAAACTACTCTTTGACTGGTTATTGAAGGACCAAGAATGGAGCAGTTCTTTGATACCGCATCTGGCTGCTGGAGTCCTTTTCATTTTATCTTAGCTGGTTGTTTTTCATATTTTGTTTTTTACGTCAATTGGCTGTTTGGCTTTGTTTGGTTCCTCTTGTTTTGGGGTTTTGGATCACCCCCACTTTCCACTTGGCTGTACTTTCCTTTTTGTTTAATAAAATCTATTTCATATATATATATATATGAGTAAATTCCATAATTGGTCCTTTATAACAGGGGGGTTTCCATATTTAGTCCTCTATTATCAAATACTAATCCCGTAGTCCTTTTTTTAAGGGCACCTTTCCATAAATGGTCCTTTTTTGATCTTCTGCCGTGTTGGTGTTAATATAAAGGCTAAAAATATATTTTGACGTCAACATTATGTCTAGTGACGTGTTCTGATATTGGTTAAGCGGATAACACAAAAATAATGACTATGATTGTGGGCTAGGATTCTGACGAAAGATCACATTTGTAGACTATAGTTGTCGTAAAAAGCGGCTGGAATTCACAAACGACGCAAACGGAAGAGCCTTTGGAATTGTGCATGACAAAAGAGATATATTATCATTGTGAAATTACACTTTTAGCCCTCAAATTAACACCAACATGATAGAAGATCAAAAAAAGGACTATTTGTGGAAAGGTACCTATAAAAAAAGGACCACTTGGGTAATATTTGATAATAGAGGACTAAATAGGGAAACCCCCCTGTTATAAAGGACCAATTATAGAATTTACTCTCTATCTATATATATATGTGTGTGTGTGTGTGTGTTTAAACCACCGAACCAGTGAAGAAAAATATAATACTCTGTAATACGTTTCCGTACCTTTGAAATGAAGACAACCAAATTTGTCTCTGACGCAAGACGCCGGTAGGAGATGTAAAGTTTCTGTTCCAGTGTTTGTGTAGAAGACGATGAGTCTTACTTAATTGAGTCACTTTTATCTATTGAAGGGCACCACCATTTTTTTTTAAAAAAATGCCACGTTATTTTTGAAAAGACCATGTTATTGCCAAGTCATCCTTATATAACACTGTTGAATGGAAATCATTTGAAGAGATAGATTTGTTTCATATATTTTTACTTACATGGACTAATTTGACTCAATGATACATACATGGACTAACATGTATACTTACAGGGACCATATTGAGTAGTAACTCGTTTGGTAAATATTCTTAATAGTTTGTTCTGTTTTTTCATATTAGAGTCGATGGTCTTACATGGATGCATTAGAAAATGAGAGTATGGGTCAGAAAGAAAGTGATTCAAGTCAGTCAAGTGAATATATTGACGAATATGTGAGAAATGCAGAGTGGCAAATAATCAAGGTATACTTTTTTAAGTGCTTTTTCTGCCTTCTGATCTTTTTTTTCTTGTAAATATATACCTAGACACTGTGATGGTGTTACATATTTCTTTATTATATTTTGTAATTACTATACTGTTTATACATAGCCGTGTGATCATTTTTAAATGGCAAACAGACAATTCGTTACAAAAATGGTATCAATGTTACGCCTGTGCCTATTCAATTTCCTAATAAGTGTGTGTCTCTTGAGTTGGCTACAAACGATATAGTTGATCAGATTGAAGTGGAAATATGCATCTGTAGTCATAGGAGCATGTCTAAATTTCGAGCTACGCGAGAAGAGATCTCTGAATTTCTCTTCAAGTTAATGAAAGAAAAAGGCCAGAGCACGCCATATATTTAAAATTATGGGGCATGTCTTAGCCTTGAGGTATTGCACATGCAATATGTATTGTTGCATTATGTGTTATTTAGTTTTCTTAAACTGACATTATATTGTAAATTGTGATGCAGTGGATGCCACATTATAACATAAACGCGACAATTGCTTGCATTTCATGGCCTTTATGTATCGATCTTTTAGCCAAAATCAATTATTTGTTCTAGATTTCCCTAAGAATGAGTCTCTAGTCAAGGCTCTACGGAAAAAATTGACACTTCTTATATAAAAAGATGAAGAGCTAGAGCAATTTGTCATGTGCAGGATCTCAGGCTGATGATGAGAGTTAGAAAGATCTTTTTTGTGTGTTAAGTTCGCAAAGTACATAGTTCCATATGGCAGCATATCCAACTATGTTAGGATTGCGAGGTTATGTTGTGGCTTGTTGAAAGAACGTTATTGGAAATATAGGAGAAGACTAACATTATCACCGCGAACATACTGTTAGAACCTAGAATGATAAAAATCAAAGTTTTCTCATTAAGAGAAGCACTCAAGACAATTTTGGGTTGTAATGTTGAGCTTGTGGCATACACACTACAAGGGAGAAAAAAAGAAGAGTCCCGGCGTATAGACAATGTTGAGACAGATTACATTTGACTCTGAAATACAACTGTTTAAATTAGAGGATAGAAAAGAAGAATACAAAAATTGTGAGAATTTTGATTGAATTTATATCATTGTTGGAAAAGAAGAGAGGAAAGCATATGAAGAGAAGACGTTATGTTTTGAAGATACCACGGTTGTAAGAGAGAAGTAATGGTGGGTAATGGTAGGCTATTAATATACCTACCATTTTCATCACACTTCTCCACATCACTAGCCTCTCTTTGGCCTTTTCATTACCCACCATTACTTCTCTCCAACTATAGCAACTTCAAATCATATGATTTTCTTCACATAGGTTTTCCTTCCTTCTTTTCCAACAATGATATAAATCTAATCAAAATTCTCACAATTTTTGTATTCTTCTTTTCTATCCTCTAGTTTAAATAGTTGCATTCCGAAGTCAAATTTAATCTGTCCCAACACCACCGTTATCCCGAGACTCTTCTTTTTCTTCTCTTATATTATACATGTCACAAGCTCCACATTACAACACAAAACTGTCTTGAGTACTTCCCTTAATTTGAAAACTTTAATTTTTATCATTCTAGGTTCTAACAGCATGTTCGCAGTTATAATTTTAGTCTTCTCCAATATTCTAATAATGTTCCTCCCAAAAAGCCACAACATAACCTCGCAATCCTAATATTGTTGGATATGCTATCATATGCAACTTCGTGCTTTGCAAACTCATCACACAAACAAAGAATCATTCTGACCCTCATCATCAGCCTCGAGATCCCGCATCCTGCTTATGACAAATTGCTCTAGCTCTTCATTTTTTTGTATAAGAAGCGTCAACTTTTTCTGTAGAGCCTTGACTAGAGACTCATTCTTTGGAAAATCTAGAACAAAATATTGATTTTGGCTAAAAGATCGATACATAAAGGCCATGAACTGCAAGCAATCATCGTGTTTATGATATAATGTTTAAGAAAACTAAATAACACATAATGCAACAATACATATTGCATGTGCAATACCTCAATGCTAAGACATGCCCCATAATTTTTAATATATGGCATGCTCTGGCCTTTCTCTTTCATTAACTTCAAGAGAAATTCAGAGATCTCTTCTCGCGTAGCTTGAAATTTAGACATGCTCCCTAATATGACTACACATGCATATTTCCACTTCAATCTGATCAACTATATCGTTTGTAGCCAACTCAAGAGACACACACTTATTAGGAAATTGAATAGGCACAGGCGTAACATTGATACCATTTTTGTAACGAATTGTCTATTTGCCATTTAAAAATGATCACACGGCTATGTATAAACAGTAAAGTAATTACAAAATATAATAAAGAAATATGTAACACCATCACATTGTCTAGGTATTATTAATAAGAAAAAGAGATCACAAGGCAAAAAAGGCACTTAAAAAAAGTATACCTTGATTATTTGCCACGCTGCATTTCTCACATATTCGTCAATATATTCACTTGACTGACTTGAATCACTTTCTTTCTGACCCATACTCTCATTTTCTAATGCATCAATGTAAGATCATCGACTCTATTATGAAAAAACAGAAAAAACTATTAAAAATATTTACCAAACGAGTTACTACTCAATATGGTCCCTATAAGTATACATGTTAGTCAATTTAGTCCATGTATGTATCATTGAGTCAAATTAGTCCATGTAAGTAAAAAATATGAAACAAATCTATCCCTTCAAATGATTTCTATTCAACAGTGTACTGTTATATAAGGATGACTTGGCAATAACATGACCTTTTCAAAAATAACATGCCAATAACGTGGCATTTTTTAAAAAAAAATGGTGGTGCCTTTCAATAGATTAAAGTGACTCAATTAAGTAAGACTCATCGCCTTCTACACAAACACTGGAACACAACTTTACATCTCCCACCCATTCTCTCCAGAACCAAAGAACACAATACCGACGTCCTGCGTCAGAGACAAATTTGGTTGTCGTCATTTCAAAGGTACGGAAACGTATTACGGAGTATTATTTTTCTTCTTGTGTATATGTGGCCCTTTATTTTTTTATGGATTTTCTGAGTTTTAATATTTTAGTGATTACTCTAATTAGTTTCATTCGGTTGGATTCTCCACAAATTTAAGTATTACTTTGTATTCTGTTTGATTGGCTTTTTGTGTTATTAGTTTCATACAACCAATTTGATAAAGTCTAGACAACAACATGCATTAGTCTGTTCAAGCTTAGAAATAATAAGTGATATCAAACATTAATTTCTAATTATGTAGATGGATTTTCCAATGACTCTTGTGTTTCACCACAGAGGAAAGTTCATTATTCATGATAGTGGACTAATGACATATGAACCTGATAACACAAAGATATGGATGGGAGTTGAGGAGGACACACTTGATGTGTTTGTAGTTAGAGTATTACAACAAGCACTTAGGATACCACAAATGCGATAGTTGTTGGTGGCTAGTTCCTAGAGTGAGCATGGAAATTGGCTTGAAACCTATGAAATTAGACAAAGACCTTTTAGATATGTGTAGAGCATGCAGAATGAATGAGAACGTGATTCATTTATTCTTTGATATGCCCCATACCAACCACACACCTGCTGCACTACTAGGTTTTCAAAAAGATAATGATGATACTGATGAACAAGGCAATACAACCGATGCTCAGCTTATTCATGGAAATATGAAGACAATGCCCCAAGAAGACGTTGATTTTACTAGAGCATGTGATGAAGGTAATTCATGGTACTCCGAAGACAATGACATGCCTTTAGATTTTGAGGAAGATTCCTTAGAACCTATTTACCTGAGTTCAATCCCAATGCTAGGTTTGGGGATGTCAGGTTGGAATTGGATATGGAATTTAATACTCCCTCTGCCCCCCAATTTTTGTCCACTTTACCTGAGTTCAATCCCAATGCTAGGTTCGGGGATGTCAGGTTGGAATTGGATATGGAATTTAATACTCCCTCTGTCCCCCAATTTTTGTCCACTTTCATTTTTACACATCATCCAATGCACTTCTTTAATTCATTTTATCTTTTAATTTGTATATTAAAAAATTATAAAAATTATATATTAATAATCTATATGTTAAGACACATCAAACAAGATCACACATGACTATATTTAGGCTTACACATTGAGAGAATTTGATGAGTCAAAGTGCTTAGATGAACAGTTCCAAAAGTCAAAAGTGGACAAAAACTGGGGGACGGAGAGAGTACTAAACAAGCATTCAAAGATGCTATTAGTGACTGTACATTCAATGGGGAAGGGAAATTAAGTATGCTAAGAATGACTCATATAGGTGTAGAGCGAAGTGTAAGGATCCCAAGTGAAGGTGTGTTATACTTTGTTCTATCCATTAAAACAATTAGTGCATGGTAGATTAAGACACTGGTTTGTGGATGACCGCACATGCTCTAAGAAACATACAAACAAGGATGCGAATAGAGCATGGGGAAGGGAAAAGTTGGTTATGAAGCTTAGGAAACATCCTACATTAAAGCATGGAAAAGTTTTCAATTGGTTCAAAAGAAAATTTGGAATCAAAATTGAATCAATCATATATAACAAGCTTTGGAAACTTCCCGTTGTTATTTACAATGGTTTGGATTTATTTGCATTAGATATGCCATGCCCCCATGCCATTGTTGCTATTCAAGATAAGATGTAAAGAAAACTAGAGGACTACTGTCATGCATGGTTGACAATGGGATCATACAATGAAACATATAAATACTTTATTGACCCATTGCAACGACCAGAGCTATGCGTAAAAGGCCCCAGGAACCACCCCTCCCGCCACCAATTAGGCGGCAACCTGGACGGCCTAAAAAAAATGGAAAAAGGATAATAATGAAGAGCCAGTTGGGTGGAAGACAAAATTAAAGAGGAGTTATACAATCATTACTTGTTTATATTGTGGAGAACATGGACATAACAGTAGAGGATGTCCATTAAAGAAAGATATACACGCAGACAACAAGCTCAATCTGCCCCTACTGCCCTACCATTCCTATCTGTTGCATCTGCGATTATTGATTTCAATCAGCCACTAGAATTTTTTGAGATCCAGGTTATATCTATATAAACTCATATATACATTCAAATTAAACCCTCTTTATTACTCCATAATATTTTTCATTAAAAAAATAATGTAACTAAATACTCCATATATTTCTACTGTGTAGACTAATATTGCAGTGAGGCCTATTAAGTTGCCCGTGGTTGGAGGGTAAAAATAAAAAAGAGCATCCTTTAGCCCTCAAATTCCAGCCCTGGCCAATACAATATCTACTGGGACCATTAAGGGAGCAAGTTCAACAACAAAGAAGTTGGCCGAGTTCATGACATCTGTTCCAACTCCGGGATTCAACCCTTTTGTTTAAATTTGAGTAACTCTTTTAAGCGATTTATTATACAAAATGTTACAATTCCAATTTTTGGAACACTTATGTGATTGGGATTTTTAGATTCGTGCTAAACTATTTCGTTTATTAATAATAGATGAATTTCTCTGCTAGAGATTTTAATTTTATCATATATCATGTTTTAAATTCATCAAACCTTGGAGCAATGAAATGGATAATGAAAATAAAATTTCCCATGAAGATTTTTTTATTTATTTACATTTGTTATGAGACTATTATGACTCATGAAAACAACAAGGACTATGAGTCTAAGACAACTTTACCTTTAAACTATAGCAACTTTTTTCAATTGAATTTTGCCTTGGAATGTACATTTGTCATAGTGTATGTTAGTTTTGGTTTTTTTATTTGCTTTCCTTCTTGGTCCTTTGTAGGGATCCAGTATGTTATTTCTTCTCTTTTATATTCAATATAACCCCTTTTAATATATATATATACACAAACAGAGAGAGAGAGAGACATATACATATATAACATGTGCACAACAAAATACAAACTATAATGAGCCAATAAAAGAAGACATACCTCAATGTTATGATGAGGGTACTCGAGAAAATCTAAAAGCTGGTCAACCAACACTTCCTAAGACTATCGTACAAAAATTAGTTGTTTATAACATAAGAATCTATATAAACGCTAGTAAAAATTAATTGATTTTGCACACACCTTGGAAGAATCTATATAAACACTAGTAAAAATTAAGAATCTATATAAACGCTAGTAAGAATCTATCTAAAAGCTGGTCAACCAACTCTTGTTCTTTGTTTCTCCTGAACAAGACATCAAGCTACGGAGTATTAACTATTAAGTACTATTTATGGTATAAGCACAATCATGATACTGACCTATACAAATAGTATGATAAGATCTGGATCACTTACAACAAATGCCAGCTTAATTATATTACTCTCTGTTTTAAATAAGTTTGTTACATTTTTAGTTAAATCAGAATTAAATAAATAAAAGGACTCAAATTTTTGGGAGTCTCAAAGCCCTAGGTTAGCCTTGTTGGTTAGATCTTGTCAATGTGTAATTTTTACTTTATCAGTTTGTTACAAAACTTTATAAATATCACAATTCCCAACTTCCCTATTGTAAAGGCGTTGAGGCGCTCCCCTAGGCGTCACCTGATCCTCGCCTTACGCCTAGGCATTACCTAATCCTCATTTTATGCCTAATCACCTGCTTCCCTTGCACCATTTTAAATTTTTGAAAAGCCGAACATAAAAATTGACTTACCCATTTGAATGAGCTATTCAATGGTAATTTTTAAGCTTGCCTGTTTGTGTGATTAAACCAGGAAGAGGGAGATGCACTTTTATTTGAATTATGTGCTTATTTGTGGTCTTTTAAATGATTGTAAACACTTTTTTCCTTGTAACAAATTATGGGTAGACTTTAACTACATATGGTGTGACTCATATCTATTTGGAGTTATATTATGTTGAAGTATTCATAATTTAATATAAACATATAAAGTATTGTCCATCTGTAATATACTCCCTGTGTCCCAATTTAATCCACCTTATTTTCTTTTAGGGTTGTCCCAAATTAATTTTCCACTTTCTTTTTTTGGAAAGCTTTTTGTGGCTCACCTATTTTTCTCCACTGCATCACTGCATCGCTTGTTCACTTTCAACCATACAATTACACTTTTCTTAAACTCCTTGCAAAGTCAAACTTTGAGCATTAATTTGGGATTTAAAAGCTATGGTGAAATAATTATTTTTGTTTATATTATAGATAGATGGATGAAGAGGAAGCGCAAAAACAAAGTAAGGTGTAGAGATTGATGGATAGTGTGGAGTGACATTGGGGTCATAAACATAGGGTTTTTAATATAGCTTTTGTGTTCAAATTTGGGTTTCAATTGTTTTCTCATCCATCTTCCTCCTAACCAAACAAAAATAACATGGGAAACTATTTTGCTCACCAATTTCCATCCTAACCCAACAAAACAAGGACTTTGAATTTCTTTTCCTCCTCAATTCCTTGAACCAAACATAGTGTTAGTTTTAATTTAGATCCTGAACTAGTCCTAACAAGTTTCTATCATGGTATAAGATATTAGGAAGATAATACAAAAATGCAAAAGGATTGTGAAGTAACAATATAAAAACCTTTTGCCCACGATGCCAAACACAACCACCAAACTGTGCTAATTCTTTCATTCCAATAGCCTTCTGTAAAAGATATTAAAACAACAATTGTGTGAGAAAAAGATTGCATTGTGTCTCAAAATTGAAAGAAATGCAATCACAATGAATAAACTTAATGGATAAACTTATATTAAATTTAAAATAAACGAACCATACCTCCCTTTTCCTATTAATAAGGAGTCTGTTCAGTTCCTTGACGGCAATGGAATATTTTCTAAGAGAAAGATTCCTTTTAACTGAAAGAAAACTTTTTAGAATAAGTTATCTACTATATATAAAGGATGAGTGAGAAAGTAATGCAAAAAATTAAGAGATTGCCCAATCAAATTCCCTGCCAAAACAGTTGCACCAAAACATAGGTGGGATGCAATATAGATGAATCCAGGCCAGTAAAGTGGCCTTCAAACCAGTTGTATTTTGTCTGCATGTTTACAATAATTACAGAGTAATATTCATCTCACTTTCTCTAAGGCTTCCCTCGCATGCAATTCTTACTCCTCTTCCCCTCACATCTTCTCAGAACAGTTGTGGGGATGCTTGGAAACACTAGCCATTGCTTTTGGGCTACAGGACGCTTGCCATGTATTTCTACGAGCAAGATGTGGATTCGGATCAAAACCAGTTTCAGGTGGCGCCATCCTGGGCTTTAACCTAGACAATTCTGATGAGACCAACGTGGATTCCGACGAGCACAATGGACCGCTTCATCTCTCTTTCGTTGCTCTATACCGAGTCAAAAGAGATAGATTATGGTAAACAAAGACAAATCTTTTTCATTATATTGCAGGAGAAAAAAATAGAGAGGTGGAGCTCACTTATCCGATCATCGTGGCCGGAAGAAATAGACATTAAGTGCATAAATTTAGGTTCAAAAAGGAAAATTTAAACAGAGGAAGTAAAAATATAAAATTTAAAAAGACTTCAAACTACAGTTTTAGTACTACTCTGTAACCTTTCTTTGTAACATTTTATTTTGTACTTCGGAGATATGTGAAAAATAAGATATATAAACTAAACTAGAGATTGAATTGAACATGTAAAATTTAAATTATAAAAAGAAGAAATCAGAGAAATAAAAAGTGTTAGTTTAGCATATAAATAGTAATTGAAAGCACAAAGAGTAGATAATTAGATTATGTCAAACTCAACAAATTGACAATGGATAGAATATGGATTTTTTTTATCAAAAATTTAATGTACATGTATGCATAACTACGAGTTTACAAAGGTTATCCTTTGACAAGAAAAAACAAGTGGATCCTTTAATGGCCCTTTTGTTTGAAAGTCAAATATGAACCATTATAACTTATAAGAATAGCAATACTTCATGAGGAAACTAAACATGCTTTATAGATGACAATTCAATGCATTAATCACCTTAGGAAACTAAAAATGCTTTATAGATTAAGGCGAAACCACATCTCCTCCGAAAAGAAACGTATAAACAAGACAGGCAACGAAAATGAACTCACCTGGAGGAAATATAGGTGCCCAGCGAGACGACGAGCTGTAGTGGTGGTTATTCCCGGGATGCTCCCTCCATCTAGTCCCGCCTCCAGAACTACCAGGTCCGCCGCCTCCTCCTCCACCGATAAATTCCGACCGCTCGTGCTTCCTCTCCCTGAAGAAGTCCTTCCGATCCCAAGGCGACGGCTCCGGCGGCATCAATAATTCTCCCCAATCCTAATTATGCTCCTGTCCTCCTCCGCTTCAAACTTCAACAAATCTAAACCAAGTGCCGCAGCAGAGGAGATCCTCGGGAGCGAAGGAGAGTCACCGTCGCGTCGAGCTTCCAGATCGCCACCGCCATCTGGAGTTGTCACTCGTGCGCAGCCACAGATCAGGTCAGAGCAAGCCGCCGTCTGTTGCTCGCACTGAACTGCCGCCGCACCCAAGAGCAGAGTCAAGAAGGGGCATCCGACGTCTGTCGATTCGCCGGCCTTCTGTGTCTATTTAGTCGCGAGGCTGTGCAGATTGCCGTCGCCATCTAGATTGTGCTGCCGCCCAGATCTGTTGTTGAAGACCGTGAAGGAATCCTCCTACATTTGTGTTCCAGCCTAAATTATTTGGGCCGGGTCACTGAAAATGAGCTGCATGCTATTGGGCTTCTTTTTTTGGTTTTGAGGCTAACAATGCAATCTATCACTTTAGCTGTCTAGGTCTGCGCACAGTATTTTTTAAAGCATTCTCTTATTTTAAAGTCTTAATCTACTTTATGTCTAATTCAAAATTAAATTTTTAGATTGAAAAAAACTTTAAAGTACTTGGCTGGAAAATGAGGCCTATGATGCCTATTTGTGCAGCATCAGTCACAAAATGTATAAAAAGTCAAAATCTCTTATTGAGCTGCACACCACAAAAAAGTAGATGTCAAACCAACATGCTTATCTCTCTTTTTGTTACGGTAAAAGTGAAGATCTTCCAAATCTCTTTTTTTTGCACTTAATGTATTATTTAAATAGAAAAAGTAAAGATCTTGCAAATCTTTTATCATTATTACTATAGAAATCATCCTAAATAGGACTAAAACATAGAGAAAAGTACCAAAATAGAACTTTCATATTTTTTTCCCGAAATAAGACTTTGCACTGTGGTAATGTGACTATGCATTGTGGTAATGTGGCAGTACATGTGCAAATTACTATACTTTTTTGGTAATGTATATGACCATGTTTGGTAATATAAGTCCTATTTCGGGAATAAAAACATGAAAGTCCTATTTTGGTATATTTTCAATGTTTTAGTCCTAGTTTGGTCTTTCTCCCTTACTATGAATAATTAATTTGACTCAAAGCTGCTGATTAAATGCCAACCAACCACTTCCCGCAATATAAATAAACTACAAAACCATTGCAATGTCTTTCACAACAGGAGCACCCCAACGTCTCAAATTTAAGAGGTAATATTTTTGCATTAATCAAATTGTACTACTGGGTTCTTTTGTTTCTTTAAAAGTATCCCAACAATATTTTTGAATGCATTTTCTAGCGAAAACCATACGTAATATTCTTTAATCATCTTTGCAAATACTTAAATTGCAGGGTAGTAAAATCAGCCTGAAAATGCATTCAAAAATATTTCATGCAATAAAAGTTTGTAGCATTGTAGTGAAGAACAAAATCAAGAAAGGTAGTTTGACAAAATCATACAAGTGTATCAACCAAAAGGTTTAAAAGATGATTTTTTTTCTTAAATCTTAGAAACACTTTGAACAAAAACATTCAAAGAAGAAGAGGAAAGCATAAGAGGGTATTTTGAAAGATCAAAGCATACATGGAAGATAATGATGCCTGCCGATTAGTTCAACTAATGCACACATATGCAATGCAAACATATGCAGATGGGTATGTATGGGCATATAAGAGGTCTATAATGAAGTTTTTGATGTGTTAAACTTAAAAGCATTAAAAGTAAGCCACTTTTGAACCCAAATTTTAAAACATTTACAACTACAGTAAAGTAGGGCACACTAATTGAGTCATACAGTGAGGCAAAAAAGATTTGTTCAAGAAAATAGTAGGATACGATTTTCTCGAGAATCGGGTGGAAAGTTTGAAATTGGCTTTTGGGTTGTGAATCTTGAGGGAATTAAACGTGGGAACACAGAAAAGAAAGGCGAAGAAGTGAAGAGGGAGGAGATCTAAGCCAAGGTTAAACAATTTTTCAGACAATATATTTCCAGTGATCGCTTTTCAAACAAAACCCAAACTTTGAAAGAAATAGATGGGGTCATTTAACAAAAAAAAATGGCTTAGTGAGATATTACAAGGCATGAGAACTGAGAAGGGGTTTTTTGTGTTCAAACATAAGTTTATTTTAGATTTTAAAATAAGTTTGATGCATTTAACATTTTCTGTAAATAATCAAAATACATATGAGCAATGCACAAATGCCTTGAAAAATATGATCATGTGAGGGAGAAGGTGAGTAAAATAGATGCATTACAAACACAAGTGCCATATATATATATATATATATATATATATATATCCATTAGCCACAAAACAATCTAACCATTTGATTATCAGTTGTCATCGGAGTTGATAATTTTCAAGACGAGACTGAATCAGAGCCACTGCCAATTGCAGTGGAACTGGCCTTACGCTCAGCTTGAAGTGAGCGGCACAATGACTCAAGTTTCTCCTTCTGGTTCCGCGTTCTCTCTAGTTGCTTCTTCATGTGTTCTCGCTGTTTCCAACAACACAACTGCAAGTTAGGTTCTGCATCTTCTTACACTAACACGGCAAGTATCATTATTCTTCATCGGATTGGTTCCCATGATATTGGTTACCAATGTCATAGGATGACCCGGAGCTCCTATTCTGCTCAGTTCGAAAAATTGATGGTTCCTAGTCTTCCTACCCCCTTAACACCAACCCCCTTGCCTACTCCGGCGCCCATTCTCTCTTCACCGATTGGCTACAGTTTTTAGGGAAAAAAAGGCATTGTTTAAAGATAGGGAGGGCAGGGTGGGCCAGGAGAGGGCATGGGGGTTGGTGGGTGCGGGGGAGGGCATGAGGATGGGTGACTGGGTGGGCGCCAGGGCAGTGGGGTGGGGGACGATGGAGGGGAAAGGGGAGGCGAGGTGGAGTTTGTAGTTTTCTCTCCTTTTCCTCACAAAATGAAAGGAAATTCACATGTACAATTTTACATTACATTTTCCTTCCCTTTCTTTTCCTTCCAATTTTCATTTCTTTTCCTTTCTACGCAAACACCAAATTTTTTCCTGTGTAATTTCATTTTCTTTTCCCTTCTCAATTCCTTGAACCAAACTGTCCAAACATAGTGCAAGGAAAAAAGAAACAATGCAAGTTCCAGTAGCAAAACTTTACCTCTTCAGCCAGCTTTACGAGAGCAATATCTGAATTCTCACATTTGCTCTTCAAGAGAGCATTCTCCTTTCTGAGCTCTTTTATTGATTTGGACATCTACATTAGTGAAAACAAATAAAAACATAATTACCTCTCTTTATGCACTTTAACTCACCAGCTTAAAAACTTCAGCAGGACCCCTTCTCAACTCACCAGTTTGATAAGGTAAATAAAGGAAACAACTTTACCTTGTGAACTTCTACCTTAAAGCCTTCAAATACGTCATTGCTCTTTGACAATGCTTCCTGTAAAAAATATAATATAATATAAGCTATAAAATCACTATAGGCCCTAAGCTACTTTAACGTGAGGTATACGTGACTAATTGGGGCAACATTTGGTCCTATACTCCTATGGTTGCCACGCTTACCTGAAATTGCTGGAACTTTTCACCATCAGCTGTTAACTGAACTCTCAAATTCTTTTCAGTAGCCAATAACTCAGAGACTTGTTCTGCATACATTTTCATCTTGGATTCTTCTTGCAATATTTTCTCTTCATGTTGCTTGATTTTTAACTCAGCTATCTGGAGTTCAAGATCCTTCTGCTTCAACTGCATGCATGAAGGACATGATTAAGCCAAAGCCCGCACAAAAAAATACTTATATTATATCCAAAAGCTTTATGTAATACAGGTAAATAGGGAGGACCTTAAGATTGAATTGCTCCTCAGCTACAGCATACTGCTCCGCAACTTGTTTCAATTTGCACTTTAACCTGCAGTTTAATTACTTAGCAGATCATTGCAAAATCAGCAAGGCTAACACTGGAAAGTGGAAACTATCACACCAACATCACATAATAGTTTTGAGCATGGCAAATGAGTATAGTATCAGTATTGTCATCCAGGCTATTTAAATATACAACCAGACTAAGTTGAAGACACATGACACTTGACCTCCATTTTTTGTGCTAACGTGACCCAAGAGGCTTAGTAAGCCATGTCCATTAACGCAATTTTTTTTAAATGGAAACAAGTGAAATCAGCAATCCCGAAAATCTTACGTCTCATTCTCCTTCAACTGTGATAGACATTCATCCTTTTGCTCTTCCATCTTGTTGCTTACTTCCTAAAAATAAGCACACATCGATCCTGAATCAAAGGTCACAGACAGTGACATGGAAACTTAATATATTATCATCTTTTTTTGGTTTGTTTTTTTCCCTTAAAGATCACATCTCTATAGACACACAGCCATAGCAACTACAGAGGAAACACGAACACTTCGTTTCCTATACTTATACAAGTTTGAAACATTAAGATAATCAAACATAAAAACGCCAGCTCACATAACTTAATGACATTAGTAGATAGTAAGACGATAAAGCCACTTCACAGCCGGATTCACAGAAGACCAAAACAAAGAGCTTCCAAAGAGGATAAGCAATCATAAATCTCTTACGATTAGCATATAAAATATTTCACTCTGGAAGTCATGATAGGCTATTGGAAGAAAAGCAGAAGTGATTTGAGAAATTGTTTTACTCCGTATTATAAACCGAGTCATTGAAAAGGTGAAAACAATCAGAACCAGTGAACCACTCAAAGAAACCATCACGCCCAAACATCCCGTGAAGTGAGTTATGAGGTTCTTGAGAAATGGAAATTTGGAAATAGCACCTTCATCAAGATTGAGAAAGCAACTTGTAGGAGTGTAAAAACCTCTACACAGGTGAGAACATCATACTACAAATTAAAGAGCAACTTCCCGTTTCAATTTATCCAGTTGCATGCTATGTACTAGTGGCATTTAGAATTTTATATGTCAATTCCATTGTGTCATTCTCCAGCATCCATCCACAAATTATGATATAGGTGCAATATTCAACAGTAAATACATACAACAACTTCCTAAACAATTTTGGGTAAAAAACTACTGCAAGCCAAATAGCAAGAAGCAGCACATATTTAATAAGAAAGACACACTCACACCAAGATTAGAATTATCCAAACCTTGATTGCATCTCGAAATTTGTTTGATATGTCCAATCTCAAATTTTGACCTTCTGTTGAAACTCTTTTGCATTCATCCTATTTAATAATGCCACAGATCATGTCAAAGAAACATTTAATAGAAAATGTGCTGATCTGCATTGTGGTCTGCAGAAGCCTTAACAGCAACTGTCATGGTTTTCACTGGAGTTTGTCCAAAGGAACTACACAGAATATATATATCAACACTGATGATCATTGCAAGGGGGGTGGACTCTCGTCATTGCAATGTTATGAATGAAATAGTCAAAATGAGTAACTGCTGATAGGGTCCATATAATCGGAATACTAGGACTTCGGATAAAGCAATCATGTAATTATTATATTATTAGAAAGTAAAGGGAGAATGTCACATTTCATTGCTCATTGTATGAATAATAAGAATAAGTAGCCAAAAGATGGAATGATTTGAACGATATAGGTATGAAGTCGCTTTGAAGATTCGTTGTTCAACTAAGCGACTTTGTACCTTGTGCCCTGTGTTTGACATGTCTTGCACCTCCTGTATAAGTTCATTAAACATAACGTCCTTTCTTGGTATTAAATAAATGTTCTAGCACTTTCTTTTTAATCCACCTTTTTCTAAAATGGATTGTAGTAACTCGGGTTTGAGAAAAACGGAAAGTGCATGAGAAAATTTTATTCCTACCATCAGTGTCTTGTTTTGACGTTGCAATTCCCGACACAATGACTCAAGTCTATCCCGAACAGCAATAGCTGGAAAAAGTAAAACATTAAAAAGAAAGCTAAAGGCGAAGAGAAGTATCAAGTTATCTCAATCTCGATAAAATAGGAATAGTCATAAACTTCAATGTACTTGTATTATACATTTCAAATCTCTTAAATAGAGTTTTGCACTAAAACACATGCCCCAGAAATAAAGTGCTCATCAAAATACAAAACAAAGGGTTCTAACTCCCTGGCTCCCTCCCAAGTAATAAGGGTTTCTTTTTTCTTTTTGAAAGCAATAAGAGTTTCTCATCATTATTATTTTTTCATTTTGTGAATGGTGTGCGCTGTGGGATTCACCTGGGTTGTTGTTGTTGTTTTGTGAATGGTGTGCATGTGTGACCACTTGGAAACAACCTCTCTACTTTCGAGTAGGGGTAAGGTACATACACCCTCCCCAAACCCTACGTTCGCTACTGGGTAGGTGTTGTTGTGCACGTGTGACCAAACTTTAAGAAATTACTACTATGTAAAGATACTACTTTGGTGTTAGGGAGAGAATGACCAGTAGAGTGTCCATGATATGTAAACAAACCATGTATGGGTACAGACAGAAGAATTGAATTTGAAGTTTTGAACTAAGTGGTAGGGGTTACAAATTTGTTCATCATAGATGAACATGGATGGAATATTTTTTTAGTAATTTAAGACATTTTAATCTAGTTAGTTTTATAGTAACAATTAACGAACTAATACATGCCCACGTACACATTCCATTTTATTCCCTTCGTCCCATTATTTTCTTCGCGTTTCCTGTTTTGGGATGCCTCAAATTTCTTCCAACTTCCTTTTATGAACAAATTGCAATGTTGATACTGATTCAGATCTATATAAATAAAACTCAGCCACACATTTTTGTTCTTAATATGTGTATCTAGTCAGAGGATGGAGAAAACTATATGATGGAGGGACTAGGGATTAGTTATTAACAACACATACTTAGAAAAATCAAGTCAGGCAAAATAAGGTAAATAAATTAAGCAAAAACAGTAAATGAATAGGTCAAGCAACCTACCATCAATCAGGCCATGTAAAAAACCAGATATTGTGCTTTTGAGTAGAAATTGCTTATATCTCACAAAAATGAATCATTCCAGCAACGTGTACATTATGTAACAAGTCATAACAAGCTACCTGAATCTCTTTCAGTAATAACTTGTTGATATCTTAAAGTGAACTCCAAAAATTCCTTTTCTGATTTAAATCCACGTTTTGCGTTCTTCCGTTTTCCTTCAGAGGCTTCCTATGATATCAATTGTAGAAATTGGTACTTTAGAGCTCAATAAATAGATAAACTATTTTGAAATACTAACATGAGATTCATAAAAAAAGAAGGGAAGTAGTATAAAGTGATTTAAGTATTAAAAAAAGTGAGTACTACCAAAAACTAATCGTGATTTTTTGCAAGCTTCAGGTATTTCTGAGAACTAGAGCAGTGCGGTAACAGGTTACTGGCACACTTATTGTATGAGACTGCAGACAACTATGGCTTATGCGCCACCTATCATCTGTTTCTATAAAACTACATGTACCCCCATTAGAAGGCCATCAATGGTAGCTCTTAGAGGAGAGCTTTATAAACTTGTTTTTTTAAACCTGAAGTTTATCTTCTTGGTTTCTTAATGCTTTGAGGCCTCAAGCTCTCTAGTTTATATCACTTTCCATGGATGCTCTGAACGCTTACTTTATAAATACCTTGACCAGTAATTCATCAATACCGCAACTGCCAGTTATGTCTCCACCCATGACAGGATCTTTTTATAAAGTATTCAACTGTTATTTGCAGACTTGCTTAGATATATCACTATATCAGAAATCCAGCAAATATGTGATAAGAATGCATTGGAAGTATTTGCAATAAACATTATACTAAACATTGAGAAACTTAGAGACAGGTGCATGAGTGTATCACTTGAGTTACTGCTTTTATGCAGTAGAAAACAGGAATAGAAACTGTTTGTTTCAAGATATTAGAAGAAGGCAGTATTCATGAGAGCAAATAAAAGGGAATGATGAAATATATATAAGAGATATTAATGCACATTAGAGGAAATAGATAAACAATCCACTATTCCACTGACTATTTTTTGGTGCTCAGAGCTCTCTTGTGGCAGCATCTCCTTCTTCGTGGGTGCCTGCTGATTTCGGATAGCTGCAAACATATTGTTGTTAAAACCAGCAAACTCATGATAAAAGTTTACAAAATGTGATACATCTATAGAAGATAATGAATTCCAAAAGGAGTACGGACTTAGGGGGGAAATGGTGGGAGGAAACATTGAGCAGGGCCATCTTTTTCCCTCCATTATTGATAAGTAAACAGTTGTCCTCATTTACAGAGTATTTGGTAGGCTGTTAGCTAAGCATACTTTCCAGTTTCCAATCATAACTAACTTCTAAGTCATTCTGTACTCTCTTTCCAGGTAAAGGAAAGAAAATTGGCTTATCAAGGCATTCTACATTTTTTTTCAGAAGCAAATAGAGAGGCGAGGGGTGCAGATAGTGTAATAAGTGTCAAGTTAATATGTTACTATTTCACTAAAGCCTTTCTCTCAAGCTAATTCCTCTGACGAGAATTCGAGAAGGGTGATGCCATTTGATTGTCTAGCATCACCTTTCTTCTCATGTTTCTTAAAAGTGGTGGATGGGAAGTGGAAAGGATAGATTGTTAATCATTGGGTTGCTTTCGTTCATAACTTTGGTAAGGAGAATGAAAAGCTAATATTTTTTCAAGCATTCTAGGCTTTTCTAGCAATGTCAAATATCATGAAAGAGAATTAACTCCACGAGAACTCTCTTTAAATCTCCCCCCAAATCGTGAGGGATGGAAAATTAGAAACCTTCCATGAGTTCCATCCCCTACAGATTCTCCATCCTAATAATCACACCTTACACAAATACAGCTTAACAAAACATGAAAAAAAACTGCAGATCTACTAAATGTAAATATATACAAAAAATTGAAAATCATGCTGCATATATATAAATAGAGATAAAGGCATATTTTTCATTGTTCATGTGAATGCCAACAGCTAACATATGAATAGAAATCATGTTGCAATATAAACAGGGATAAAGGCATATTAGTTATTGCTCCTGCAAATGCCAGCAACTAACTTACGAGATCTGTTTGGTACCTGCAATTACACTACTAAAGGTGGAACTCACATTAACCATTTCTTGCGCCTACCGAATTCAAAAACCAAAAGAATTGACCAAAACTCATTATTAAATGACTAAAAAGGTTTCTCGAGAACTTTCAAACAGTGGAAGATCTCTAATGCTCCTAATTTAGTGGTAGCTGCATAGTGTGCGTGCCCGTGCTTTCTCCCCTAAAAACAAATAGACACATTTTACAAGGAAATTAATGCAAACCAATTTCTCACTTTCCCCAGTATCTGTAAAGTGGCACATTAGGTAATGCTTGAAAACTACGAACAGAAATATTCAATTTTGAAACCTTTTAGACATTTCCAAATCTGTAATGATTCATAAAATAATTTACATACTGTATCAAACACAATAAATTGAACTAATTAACATTCCAATCCACTAGTGACTTATCCATCTAACAATTACAGAGTAATAGAAAACTTACAATTCTCTGGGCTGCCTTGTACCTCCACTCCAACTTCATCGTCCGCATCTCTACGCACACTATCAGAAGGTGCATCAAAATGTATATGATTGACAATCACGCCTGGCCTCAATTCGGGCTCCAGTAGCGTATCCTCCTTATAATCTGTCAACTCCGGTGCGTGTAGCGACGCTATCCTGGGTGACATTGGAGCATATGAGCCGTCGGTGGAGCTATCCACAAATCCGTCCGGCAACGAATCTGCCCCTGGCAGCTGATTCGCAGCCGGGTTCGGCGGCGCGTTATCGCTCTCCATTGCACTTGTAAAACGAAAATCACAACAAAATCAACTGAGGGATTGACAGTGAAGTGAGCATCGGTGGAAACGGATCCACACATTTTACACATAATTAAATAAACTATAGATTTTATGCACACATGTTAATTTGATAAAATAATATTTTGAAAATATTTCATATAATAAATCTAATAAAATTATTTTTGTATCAATATCTAATATCATTTTTATTTAATTTAAGGTCAAAATTTAGCGTTTTTGAATGGAAAAAGTCAAAAGGTGACAAATATTTAAGGGAGTATTAAATAGATAATTTCATTTTAAAAAAATTCCAACTTATATTAAATAATCTCATATTTTCACAATTTTCTAAAAATAACATCACTTTTCACGGGTACCAAAAATAATCTCACCTTTCTGCATGTGTACGAGTTTTAGGTCGCTATTAAGAAGCTAACGGTCACTTAACGAAATTTTTAGAAAATACAATGAAAGATGAAGTTATTTTTAGGTCAATTCACTCTTTTTTGTTTTTTATTGTTAAATTTAAAATTTATGCTTTCAAAAATATAATAGTACACTCTTGTTAAAGATTTGTCTCTATTTTTTAAAAAAAGATAACAATTTACAAATTTGTATTCTGTTTTAAAAGAAATATAATACGTAGTAGTAGATTATCGAAAAAAATTTAAGTATCACTCGAAAAATAAATTGCAATAGAAAAGTTTGTAGTGAGTTATAAAAATATTTAGTGTCATTTTGGAGAGAAAAATAATTGTGTCATTTTCATAACATTTGAATTATTATTTGGCGGAAAAAAATTGTACTGCATTATCGAAAACAATTACAAGTTTTGTGGTGACACTTTGGAAAAAATAATGTGGATAATAGATGATTATCCACAAACATTTCGGAGTGTTGTCAATGAAAAAAATTACAATACAAAAAAATGTAGTGAGTTATAAAAATAATAGTTTCAATTCAAAAAAAAATTATTGAGTAAATTCCGTAATTGGTCCTTAATAACAGGAGATTTCCATATTTAGTCCTTAATTATCAACCTTGTAGTCCTTTTTTAAGGGTGCCTTTCCACAAATGGTCCTTTTTTGATCTTTTGCCATATTGGTGTTAATTTAAAGGCTAAAAGTTTAATTTGATATCAACATTATGTTTAGTGACATGTTCTGATATTGGTTAAGCGGATAAGACAAAAATAATGACTATGATTGTGGGCTAGGATTCCGACGAAAGACCACATTTGTATACTATGGTTGTAGTAAAAAGCGATTGTAATTCACAAAAGATGCAAACGGAACAGCCTTTGAAGTTGTGTATGACAAAAAAGATATATTATTATTTAGCCCTCAAATTAACACCAACATGATTGAAGATCAAGAAAAGGACTATTTGTGGAAAGATACTCATAAAAGAAAGACCATTGGGGTAATATTTGATAATAGAAGACTAAATAGGGAAATCCCCATGTTATAAATGACCGTTTATTGAATTTACTCAAAGTTATTGGATCATTTTCACAACTCTTATAATATTATTTTGCAAAAAACATTTATAGTAAATTATTGAAAAATATTCACAAGTTTTGTACTCCCATTTTTTTAAAAATAATAATAGTATATTATCAATAAACAATTTGAAGTGCCGCTCAAGAAAATAATTACAACTTACACAAAAATAATGAGTTATGGAGTAAATAAATTAGTTCCATTTTGTAGAATAATTTGATGTGCAATTTCTAACCTTTTGTAATATTATTTTGGAGAAAATAATTATTACTAGATTCTCTCCTTTTGTTTTTTTTAATTTTAAATTTCAATGTATTTTTTACATTGTTTTTATAAATAATACCAAATCCAAGTGTTTATTTTTTAAAGTGACATGGATCTTCTTTTTCAATAATAAATTAGTTCCATTTTTTAAGATAATTTATTATGTAATTTCACAACTTTTGTAATATTATTTTGGAAAAAAAATTATTATCGGATTATCTAAAAAAATAAATAGTGTTACTCTAAAAAAAGACTTAAATTTGATATTTTTTAAAAAAATATTTTTAAAAAACATTTAAGTTTAAAATTCAAAATTAAAAAACAAAAAAAAAAAGTGAATTTACCTAAAATAATCCCACCTTTTATTCATTTTCGAAAAACAAGAATTTTCTAAAAGTTTCATTAAACAACCATTAGCATTATAACGGCGATCCAAAACTCGCATACAAGATGAGATTATATTCCGTGACCATGAAAAATGAGATTATTTTTGAAAAAATGCGAAAAGGTGAGATTATTTGAGACAATTTTTCCTTTGGCCTTGTATCAAAAAAATTATATTTGTAAGGTTAAAATTACCAATTTAACATTAATTAAATAGTTATAGCCAAAATACAAGAAAATAAAGGGTAGTTTCTCTCAGAGGGAAGAAATTTAAGTATTTAACAGTCAATTCCCAATACGAAAAGGTAATTCCTCAATAGGAAAATCGACATAGGTTTAGGGAAGCCACAAATAATTTTTCAAATTTTTTAATAATTTGTTCATCTTTAAGAAAGTCTATTACGCTTATTATTTTTTAAAAAAATATATTTCAGTTTTGGCTTTGGCAAAGCCATTGTAATTGCTATGTCCTTTTTTTTAATTTCGAGTTTTGTAAAGTTGTTTTTTGCTTTCCCCACCTATCACTTTCATAGGTCGGGGTATTTATACATGCATGGGAGTAGGTAAAGTCTAGGTAAATAAGGAAGCAAATATTCTAAGTAATATGAGTAATATATCTGTCATATTTAACACTCTCTTTAAATATATCATCGTTCATTATACACTAACAATATTATGCTACTCTATAATGTTGGCTAGGTTCTTCAAGACATGTATTAACTGATACTGTATAATCAAATATGGTGCCTCATTAAAGTCCATACTAAGAAAACTTAGTGGGACAAAACTAGTTAAGGAAAAATAGTACATCGTGTATAATGTTTTCTCTCAAAATAAAATTATAATCCCCCTCAAACTAATTTATTTCTTTTAGCCTGCGAAGTACAATCTTCTTTATGAGTTGCTCGAAACTGTGTCTAGGCAGAGATTTGGCGAATAAGTCTGCCATATTTTTGCTTGATTTAACTTGAAGAACATCAACCTCTCATTCTTTCTGCAGATCAGATGTTGAGAAAAACTTTGGTGAGATGTGTTTCGTTCTGTCTTCCTCGATATAGCCTTCCTTGATTTAAGCTATGCATGTTGCATTGTCTTCATATATAATTGTAGGATTCTTCTTAAATTTTTCCAAACCGCATGCTCCTTGTATATGATCAATCATCGATCTCAACCAAACGTACTCTCGACCATCTTCATAAAGTGCTACCAATTCAGCTTCATTTGATGATGTTGCTGTTAGAGTTTGCTCTGTTGACTTCTAGAAAATTATTGTACCACCAGTGTGAACGCATAACCTCCTTGAGAACATGCATTGTGTATGTGGATATGATAGATAACCAGCATCAGCATACCCTACAAGTTGGGACTTTTCATCTTTCTGGTAGAAGAGACCTAAGTCTCGTGTCCCACAAATATATCAAAATACTGGTCTTCAGTTGTATCACTCATTATCGGTAATCAATAATAGCTTGATGTTCAGTGAGCAAGTCCATACCAAAGATAACGTCGAACTCCTTGTATGGTAATTGAACAAGATTTTCAAGGAATTGTTGTCCTTCAACAATCAACAGACAATCTTGATATACATGATGTAACCTCATACTGTGGAACGCCCTGCAACCCGGTCTAATAGAATTGATTAATTTAATTAATTAATTACTGTTCTCGACCCGGGTTGGGAAAATGAAAAGTTCTTAGAAAAATTATTTGATCATATCATTAAATTCGTCTTGACTGTCTTATTCTAGAAACGCAAACGGATTTCAATTCGGACCCGCTTGGGGGGAAAAGCGCGTACCGTTCAGGTCAGAGTTTTACATAACGGAGTGAAAATATATTTGTAACCCCTCATGCCTTTGGTTCGGCTCCCTCACTATCCCCATCATTCCCATTTAATATCTTCTTAAATCACCATAAAACATCACTCTTATTATTCTCTTTTGGTAACCCCCCATTGTGAATTCAATCATCAACTCCATCATCATCATTCATCTTCTCTCCTTCTCTCATTCTCGGCCAAGATAAGCAGACAATCGATTATCAGCCAATTCTGAACCCATGGCCATCATGTTGAAGAAATCATAATCAAGCACATGTGTAAGAATTGAATTTAACTCTTTCCTTTAATCAATGCATTCATACCATCATGTTCGTTCTAGACGGATGTTCTAGGTTTCCATCATATGCATACCGCTGTAGGGAGGACTTCAAGCGCCTACTACAGTGGGCCCGTCCAGGAACCCTTGGGGACCAGCGGGTTTTCATCATGTTGGGCTTGTGTACGTACATAGTTGTCAGGTTACGGCTACTACCCGGTTTTGCTAGTCCACTCGCGATGTTTTCATCGTGCCCGACTCGTTACCGTTCGGGGACGATGACCGGAGTGCAGGGGTGATCCTGTCGAGTAAGACTAAGCCAGGGGTGTCCCTGATAGTTTAAGTCATGCATCAAGTCATATCATCATCATTGTGTTCCTTGTTATTCGAAACAGCTTTAACATGTGAAAACTAAACAGTTAGTAACGTGTGGTGTCCCGTACGTTAAGTACAGGTATTGATATGGGTATAGCCATATGGGTTATCACTTTATGTTCTTGTGTTAGATTCACTCCTCAGCTTTTGCTGAGCGTGTAGTTGTTTTGCTACACGCAGGTAGACATGACGGAGCAGGTACCAACCCCGGAGAGCGGTGACGATGGGGAGATGCGCGACGCACGGACGAACTCTTAATAACTTCATTAATCAATTGGGCATGAACCCACCCTTGTCGTTATTTAGTTTGGACTGAACTTATTTAATTACTTCCGCAATTACTCTGCACTTTTATTACACACGTTTTGGGAGTAACTCCCTGGCATTTATTCCTCTAATTAAAACCCAACCGTTTTCTTATTAAATAATCATTAACGTTTTCGTAACGGATGGTTCTCG